GTGTGCTCACCTCCCAGACATGATTACTGAAGACAAATGGGTGCCTAAGCAAATGTGATGAGGAAAGCTGATGGTGCCCGACTGTCAAAAGATATAGCGTCTGGGGTCCTAAAGGCTTGAAGGTAAACAAGCGGCCATCTAGCTCAGAAGCAACAAAGCCCACATGGAAGAAGCACACCAGTCTGTGAGATCACAAGGTGTCAAAGGGATCAGATATCAGGCATCAAAGACAAAAAAAAAAAAAATCATAGCATTGTGAATGTGGGGGAGTGCGGATTAGGGACCCAGGGCCCATCTGTGGGAAATTGGACATCCCCTTGCAGAAGGGATGCGGGGAGGAGATGAGCCAGTCAGGGTGCAGTGTAGCAACGAGGAAACATACAATTTTCCTCTAGTTCTTGAATGCTTCCTCCCCCCCAATATCATGATCCCAATTCTACCTTACAAATCCGGCTAGACCGGAGGATGTACACTGGCACAGATAGGAACTGGAAACACAGGGAATCCAGGACAGATGAACCCCTCAGGACCATTGATGAGAGCAGCGATACGGGGAGAGTAGAGGGAAGGTGAAGAAGAAAGGGGGAACAGATAACAAGGATCTACATATAACCTCCTCTCTGGGGGACGGACAGTGGAGAAGTGGGCAAATAAACAGAGATGTCGGACGGTGTAAGATATGACAAAATAATAATAATTTATAAATTATCAAGGGTTCATGGGGGAAGGGTGAGCGGGGAGGGATGGGAAAAAATGAGGAGCTGATACCAAGGGCTCAAGTAGAAAGCAAATGTCTTGAGAGTGATGAGGGAAACAAATGTAGAAAAGTACTTGACACAATGGATGGATGGATGGATTGTGATAAGAGTTGTACGAGCCCTCATAAAATGATTTTTTTTGAAAATGTGGCGGAAAATGAAACTAAAAGAAAATTTAATATTTCCATGAACTTTTTGAAGCCCTCTCACAGATGCTGTTAACAAACACAGAGCCTAGCCAGAACCCACACTGCCTTCTTGGAGGG